CTTCTCGTTCCTGGGCTCTAAATACACTGGCACGGGAAACAGTGCTAACCCAGAAGGGGGCAAACCTTCATGGAAAAGGGAGCTAGACAAGAGCCATCAGCCTGGGTTCAACCCGCAAGCTCCTTTCCTCGCCATCCAAAGCTGGGTCTGCACAAGGAGCAGAGAATAGAAAGCCTTTCTCCAACGAGTCAGGACCAAAACTCGTTCCCACTTAGCAACGCTTGTAGAAAGAGTCCACTAAGCGCCTCAGAGCTTCCAGCTCGGAGGTCCCTAACTTGTTAGCAGAGAGGTATAGAAGCTTTCTCTACAGGAGTATCTTCCTCAAGATGATGCAATTTCTAACCTAGGAAAGTAGATGTGTAGAACGTTGCTGTCTCTCACCAGGCCCCTATCTGTATCTGGGGTTTCTTCTCTGTTCAGAGGTGTAAGAGCAATCACTTCTACCGGTGTGAAAGGAAGACTGCTGTCTCTGCGGTTGATGTGGCCCACTTGATATCACCATACTCCCCACTAAACAAATCGCCTTTAAAGCCAGGTCCTGGCCCTCCCTGGGCATGCTGCCTGCTAATGCACATCCCTCAGAGAGGGGCAAAGTAATGCTTTTCTTCAGCCCTTTCATTAATCCAAAGAAACTTTTTTTTTTTTTTTTTTTTAATTTCTGAGACAGGCTCTTACTATGTAGCCCAGGCTGGCTTCAAACTCATGGGGATCCCCCCGCCTCAGCCTCCCAAGTGCTGGGATTACAGGTGTGCACCACTATGCCTGGCAGAAACCTTTTCTATGTGTTTAACAAAATAAAAAACTTTCCAGGTTATATCAGGTACTTTAGAGCCAAACCTCAAATAAAAGGAAAATTAGAAAATTTTCAAAAATTTACAAACATATACTAACATATACCTAGAAAAGGGGTATAAAAACTACCCTGGTTATAACAATACATAACTTCAAAAGAAGAGACCCTCTGGGAAAATCGTTTCTATTACACTGATATAAAAAAAAAAACCCTCATTTTGTTTGCAATAAACTTCTAACATTACTGAAGACACAAACATTTTAATGGTGGAGGAGTAAGGCTGAAGAAGAGGGCAATGCAAAGTAAAAAAAATAACAGTGTATATCTGACAGAAAAAGAACATCTTTTAAGGCACTGAGTTCAAAACACAGAAAGCTCTAAAGCCAAGTTCTCCCACATTTCAATCATGAGACTTCAACTGTGACATTACGACTAGGAGATCTCAAAGAAGTAGTGATAGGAAGGAAGCACACATTTAGACATTTACAGCTAACTTTCCTGAAGCTAGGAATAAGAATAGAAATATAAAATTCTCTTTCTTGGGGAAAGGCATGAGACCACAATGCAAGTGTAGATTCTAAAATTCCGAACAGGGGCTGGGGATTTAGCTCAGCGGCAAAGCGGCTGCCTGGCAA